AAACGCATGCCGAACATGGGCTATGCTGAAACTCAAGCCATCCAGAAATGCTTGCAGCTTACCTAGATCTTCACTTATCAGCACAATCTCGTCTGAACACTCCAGATCAGAGCCCCTGCCACCTGGGATTAAATCGAAGCTAGATCCGAGCACAATCTCATTAACCCTCAGCGTACCGTCATAGTTTGCCCACCCTGCTGTTTCTTCCAGTCTGGAACGATGTCTGCTAATAGTGGTTGTACAAACCACAGACTGAAGAAAATCCCTATTCTCGGTTCGAGGCGTGACCACTATTGTTCCCCCTCCCAATTACCCTCTTTTCGATCCTGTGTGAACAAGTGGTCACTCTTGATTTGACCTTGATCACCGTGTGATCCCTCGTGTTAGTCATTTTCTATGGTTGTTTGATGTCGGATTCTCGTGTCTAATGACCTTGTGTGCCTACCTATCGATCCCACCCGTGTTTTTGTCCTGTGCACTAACGCAGCCTTGGTGTGTCATTGCTCCAGTCCATAACCGCCCCAGTCCCTCGCTATATGCCCCGTCACTGGCCCTATGGCGTCATTCGTTGTCTTACTTTGTGCGAGCGCATACCTGACTTCCATCACTGGCTGTTCACTTTTGGTGAACAGAATTTCTTCCCGTGGCAAACAGATCATTGTCGATCTGTTTGAATTTAGCTTGGCTGTTCACGTTAAGTGAACAGAATCCCTTGCTTGATCTGCCAGGTATTTATGTTCCCTCTTTGTAAATTTATTTCTTTGTCTTTATATCAAGTCTCTACCCATTTGTTTGAATTGACCTCTTTGGCTGTATAGCGACTGAGTCGCATTGTTTGAGGTACGTTGTTCTTTGACTCGCCTAATGCAATAAACAGTACCGTACGCAATTGAGGATCAATATCGTTCTGATTTTGGAGCTCGCATTTCGCTACGCGTTGCTCAACGGTCTCATTGACGCTATACAGAACGATCGTAAAATAGCCGATTACACTCGGGCTACGGTCGAGCCAGAACAAGTCGTTTTGGAGTTTACAGTGGTAGATGTTACCAATTACGTCACTTCGTAAAACCTTACCGTTTTATCATAATACTGTCCACTTGGGACTACTTTAGATTCCGGGATTCGCATTTAAGTCACGGTTACTTACGGGTAGTTTTGTGGGATAATTGATATTAATGAACTTGACTGACTATCCTTCTGATTTCGCTTTCACGTACAAGCCTCAGTTCGTCGATTTAATCATACACTCAAAAGCATTAGACTTGTGTTTCGATCTTATTAGAGCTCATCCCGTCCGGGATTTGAACTCCCGACTCATCACATGGAAGACATGTGTGATAATACTGTGCCAACCAGCTCATGAAAGGACTGTACTGAGTTACCAGTTTATGTTTGTTCAGGTGTCATCTATAGAAATAATTCAATTTGACCCGACAGCAACGAAGGGAAACCCAGTTAACTCCAACCGAAAGCTTCCCACCAAGCCAGGACTTCCATGCAAGTTACAAGCTGACTTACCACAAACCTACCAGACTCGATTAATTATTCGCATTTAAGTCACAGTTACTTGAGAGAAGTGGTGTGGGTTTATTGACGTTGATTGATTTCCACTATTGATGATTGCCAATAAGAGAAAAACTCGATCCTGGGGTTTCCGAAGGTATGGTTCAATCGATGAACTGAGGATTGTGTGTGAAGGTGAAATCCGAAGGATAGTGAGTCAAGTCAATCAATATCCCCGAATTCCTTTTGTTCATTCTCCAAGTAGTCTAATCAGTATACAACCCACGATTAGTTATCATTCATTTAGCATGAGACCACTTGGCTGGTTTTCATTGATTAATTTTACCGTTCGCAAGCTGCTCTTGAACTGCGTATAGAATTATTCATGGTTGTATAGGATCCACTAATCATTATCTGTAAATGCTATGGGTTTCAGTATACTGTCTACTGTCCACTTCTTGATCTTGTAACCCTA